GGGATTACTGTTTGTTACCTCATTTTCTGACTTTGGAGGTCTTGTTTTGGTGTGATTTTTTCCTAAGCTGAGTTCATTGATGTGTCTTGGTTAGGAAACAAATTGCAGGCTGGCCAGGCCTCACTGGAAGTAGACCCAGAAGTCTAGTGCAGGTTCATCTAGTCTCTGTCACAGGCCCCAAGAATCAGGATCAGAGTGTTCCTGCCACCCTAACAATGAAGCTTATGTCCTTCCCCAGCAGTGCTCATTGCTGCAGAGTAGATTGCAGAGGAATTAATATCAGAAAAAAGAACAAATTTTTACCTAAGACTGTCATCCTGTCTTTGCATCTCCAGTCTGTATTAAAATGGAACAGTAAGGAATGGTCATACATTTATTAACCATCTTCATGCTTGTTTCAGCCTGGTACAGGGGACTTTGGTATAGGTTGTCCAATAATTGTGATAAAAATGGGCACAAGATATCCAACTGTGACTCAGGGCACAGTGGCCTACAGAAAGTTCACTTTCCTGAGCATACAATAATTTGGCTCTGTCCACACCCACCATTTGGTGGGTATTTTGTCAATGCCATTACATCTTCTGGCCCCCAAAATGACTCATTTTCATTAATGAATGCCAGGAGAAAGAAGAAATTTAAGGTATATTTTTCCCATTAGAGTATGATTTTCAATCTAACAATTCGCTACCCTCCAGCTTTCTGGTGTGGCTTCTGCCCAACATTGTTCTTCCCTGTGCCAAATAGAAGTGGCAGAAAGGAAAGAAAACTACACATTAGCCCCACAAGTTAGGTGGAACCCTAGGCCAAACACTGGTCAAGATTATGGTGCTGCTGCTCTCCCAAGAACCCAATAACCTGGTTTTTCAGAACACCTTGGGGAACACACACTGGGAAGAGAAAAAATGTGAGTCTGGGAATCATGCTTAATATGGGGGAGATGATTTCTCATGAATGTGCAGAACATTATTTCCCCCTCAACATTCCAGCAATCTTGGCCAATCTTGCAGACACTTAACACAAATGAGATTCATTCTTCCTTTAGCAAACCTCACATGGTTTCACGTCTCCCCAGACACCTGCCTGCTTTGTTTTCCATTTATTCCAAGAAGTACCGAGAAAGCTATTTGTCATCTTGTGGACTGTTAGTGTATCTTCCTACAGCTGTTGCAAGTCATTTATCATAAGCAGGCCATCTCTTATCAGAATGCTTAATTGTTTAGGCCTGATGACTGAACCCATACTGAGCAGAAAAATATTGGTACATCTTTCTCCATTTCCTTCTACTCCTTGCTGTCAGCAAAGGTTCACTATGACAATCCCTGCTCCTTCCTTTCACTCCCATTCCCCTTTGGGAATAAGTTCTCACTCCATCTGCACTCTCCTTGCCCCTACAGTCATCCATATTTCTTTGTTATGATTTATTTGAAGCTCTCCTTTGTCGTCAGGCAGATTTGGAAGCCAGTGAATGCTGGGCACAAGCAACTCTGATTCTCTGGACAACCTTGGACTATTCTATTTTTGGAATCCTAAGAATGCCAGCCCAAGGAAAATTTCTTCCAGGGTCTCTGAATTTAGAGACTGTGCTAAAAGATTCAGGAATGAAGAGGGGTCCTTGTGATTCCATGGACCCTTTTATTAGGAAGACCAAAAACAGAGCCCCATCCTGCATCTCTCCAAGCATGAGTTTCATGATGAGCACTCCCACACTTTCCATGGACTGATTGAAAAAATGGCTGATTTGCAGCAGATGTTGCCCAGGTGTTCTTTTGACCAGTGTCAATGCTTGAGTAGGGCAGTGAGCTAATCTGAGCACCAGGGGAAAGCTCCCATGGTAAGCCTGCCACCATCAGCCTCAGGCTGGGCTGTGGAGGGAAAAATCACCCTGGGACCTCAAAATCAATGCATTAGTTGTTGACAAGGATCAGAAGGTGTCTTCCCAAACTGGGCTTTGAGCTGTGGCTTAGATGTGAGATGGAGAGTCATCTTGTCTGAGAGTCTTTCCATAAATACTTGTTGACACCTGCTGTTTGCAAGATGCCTGCTCAGAGCTGGAGCGAGAGAATTAGATCCAGTTCCTGCCACAGGGAAGGCTGTCACTTTAGCTTTGGACAACAGTATGATCAATTTTAAGGAAGATGACTTGGTAGAGGGGATGTAGCAAGAAATAATCACTTTTCTCTCTATCATGAGTGCTGTGTGTGTGTGAGAGAGAGAGAAACAGAGACAGAGATAGGGACAGAGGAACGGAGGCTGAGGTCAGAGATCCGATAAAACAGGGCTGGGCCTGCATTGAGTGGTTTATCCTTCTGAAAGTCTCAGGCTGTCAGTTGTAATTAGATATACTTATCTATTGCTTAAACTAAAACAGCTAATTAAATTTTTAATTACTGTTCCTAAACTACCTGGGGATAAGATAGCTAAATATTACTGTGAAGTTCCAGGGAGCAATGTGCCCACGTGGTGACTCTCCAGAAAATGCAAGAAGGCTCATGCTGAGAGTGGAAGTCATTTCAAACACTACTGGCAAAATATTTAAAGTAACTTCTTCCCCATGTTTCTTCCCAAGGTTTTCCCCTTGGCCTGTGTTATAACTTTGATCCTTGACTTACTATCACATTTGATCAACTGCTTCAGGGTTGGGGGGAAAGGTTTGTTTAGAAGATGTATTTACTAGTTCTGAGTTCCTCTCTAAAATATCTAGCTTATCACTGCAGGGTACAAGCAATAACGGGATGTCCTTAGAGATGCATTTTCTTCTTCAGAACTTTTGAAGTTATAAAGGGTCAATAAAACTATATTGGGAGGCAGCCAGGCCAACAGGAAGCTCTATAGAACATCCATTTAATTGCCATGATACACATCCTTGCCACTTGAAGTCCTTAGGGGCTTGTTTGCCTATTTCACACTCCATCTGTCCCTGTCTTCCTCACAGTAAATCACCAAGGAAGTCACTTACTGAAAGGACACATGAATTTAGTAGCAGAAAGGATCCCTCAAACAAGGCACATGGTTCAAGTCAGATGAAAGACTCTCTTAAATTCCTGGAAAATCCTTAGAAATTTGCTTGGAAGGTCTTGATATTCTGAAAGAGTAGGGATCATTTTATTTTGTGTTTTTCTGGCTGGTGATGTCTCTTAGATTCTGGTAGAGAGGATATTTCACATCTGGGAAAATTTTCAATGTTTTTCTTTTTTTCATCATGCAAATGTTCACATCTGGCAACCTTTCCCTTATGTGGAATTTTTTCTTTTCCCTTGATAAGTTCCTTGGTCTACCCTACACATTAATCTGCAATGATGAAAGCCAAGTAATGACAGATGCAAGCTCTCTTGGGACCAGTGTTTTTTATTTTACCCACTTTATAGTCATGTTTGGAAACAGGCATTAGTTATATACATACATTCAGAGAATATGTTTGATAAAATGAATTTATTCATGTCTGTAGATAAAACACCACATTATTTAATCACTTAGAAGCCCATACACATATAAAGTAAGAAATTATTGAAAAGCTAAAGTCCAAAGTCTTATAGACATCGTCTTAGAATGCACTGTTTTCTGATGTTTGTATGTTTTTAAATTGGAAAAAATTACTTTTTAAAATACTTATTTACTTTTAGAGAGGGGAAGGGAGAGAGAAAGAGAAGGAAACATCAATGTGTAGTTGCCTCTCACATGCCACCGACTGGGGACCTGGCCTGCAACCCAAGCATGTGCCCTGACAGGGAATCTAACCAGTGACCATTTGATTTTCGGGAAAGCACCCAATCCACTGAGCCACACCAGCCAGGGCTAGAAAAACATAACTTTTAATTTACAAGTTCAGAAATGTACAGGATATATATAATCAACTACATTTTAAAAGGAAAGAGGTCATATGGATTATGACAGTAGTCCTCAATCCTGGGGACACATTAGTAAATCTGGGAGGTTTTAAAATGCTGATGCCTGAGCTTCACCCCAAGTTTCTGAATTAACTGCTCTGGGTAATGCCTGGGCAGCCACGTGAAAGATCCCAGGGAACTGGTGAGAATTTGTGTACATGGTAAGATGACTTTACTCATATTTAATGGGATCCTTTTACCCACACAGCAAACTCCAGCTAAACTGGCAGAATTGTTCTCTGGCATGGAAGGTAGAGAGAGCAGTTGTGCATAGTCAACCTGAGGGAAAATCTGTAGCTACCAGGGAACATTGCTGCTAGTGCCAAGGGCACCTCCTCAGGAGGCCTGTGGGGCCTAGTCTCAGCATCATGGTGAGATGAACCTAGAACCATCTTTATTAGAACCCTGGACTTGGAGTCCCTAAGAGCTGGGTACAGTTCCTGCTCCATTATTTCTACTCTGAGTGACCTTGGTTAATATGAAGAAAGTTGTATCTTCCCAGACTTGTGAGAATAAATAAGGCAGTAAACAGATTTTGTTACCTACACAGTGTACCTTTGGAGATCACTGTAAGTCCTGAGGCTATCTGTTTAGTAGTCCTGACTGAGCCCCTGCCTCATACAGGGCCCTAAGGAGGTGTTTCAGGGCAGAAGCCCTTGACTTCCAGGTATGCCACACCAGGTACAGGGGTTCATGTACTAAGACAAAGTTATTTTCCTGGGTCCATCAGTATCAGAAACACTAACGGACTATGGAATTGACCCTTAAAACACTGCCTGGAGTGAGTGTTTGGACCCTAACTGAAGAATGAGAGTGTCTTCTAATTTTTCAGAATATTTTTCCCAACATGGTCATCTAAGTGGCTATAGGATAGTGCAAGTGAGAGGCAAGTAGTATACTAGTGACTCAAATTCTGGTTCTGTGTGGCCTTGTGCAGTTGCTTTACCCATCTGTGCCTCAGTTCTTATGCAATAGGGTAACAATAGCACCTACTCCCCAAGTTATAAGAATGAGATGAGTTAGTGTTCACAAGCCCTGAGTGCAGTGCTGGTTCACAGGAATACAGGCAGGCTGGCTGCTGCACAGATAAGCTAACTTGTGTCCCTCCCTCCCCAGTGCCTAGCCTTTCCTGTAATGGCTTTGACAGCGCCCTTCTAAGGCCTTGCCAGGTATCTCTAGGAAAGGAGGTCTGCTTCATAGCTACTGTTCACCTAGCAACACCACAATTCCTAAAGGTAAGTACTTGGAAGAGAAGTTATCCTGTGGAAATATTATAGTTGAGTTCCATTTACTTATATTTAATTGTCTTTATGGGAAAATTAAATTACAAGGATATCATCACTAAAATTTGAAATGTCTGGTTTCCTTATCTCTGATAGCCCCACATGCTGTCTCTCATAACTGCATTTCCTAGGAGATATTTTGTTTGAAGGCATCAATCACTCTTGAGCCTGTGGAGATGCTTCTTTAGAGCTCTGTAAACCTTCCTACATTTCATAACAATATTAAAACCACTCAGGGCAGGCAGAAGTGAGAACTGAGTGTAAAACTGAGTGTCTGAAATCTCTTGTCTATGATTGCTTTAGTGTCTGTGGCAGGAATGTTTAGTTAAATTAGTCATTCAAATGCAGATCAAAAGCCATTTTCCACATGTTTACCACACTTTGAGATAATGGGAAGGGAGGGGTGTGACATTTTAGCTCCTAGTTATTTTTCCCCACCTTGTGAAATAAATTTTGTACCAGCTAGTACCAGATTAGCTACAGATGACAAGCTTCAATCCAACACAACCTGAAGACTTGCTCTGAAGAGTTATAACTTCTGTGGCCCACCAGTCAGTCATCCTGAGCAGCTCTAGCGTGAGCATCTGTCACCTCAGGCAACACTTTCTTTCCTTCTAATATAGGAAATGTGTGTAGTTGATGAACCTCTAGAGGAATTCACTTCAAGGCACAGCTTGGAATGGAAGTTTTTATTTCTGGATCACAGGTGTGTGAAAAGAAAAGCATTATCTGGGTTGGGGTGAAAAAGGTCGGGCCTGGCAGAAGGAAAAGTGGTTCCCAGCCAAGGGTTAGGCAGTTTGCCTCCTATTGCATTTATCCATATCCATGGATGCATTCTGTGTTTGGGTCAGACCATTTCAGAAGAGCCAGACACTGCAGCCCAGGGACATCTTTGGGATACAACCCGATCCCCCACCTCCACCAATGGGAACCTTCTCCAGCTCCCAGGAAGGCAGGAGCAGAAGTGAGATAAACTTCTCATCTTACTTCCTTCAACTCCTTTTTCTCTTATCTCCTAATCTTTCTTTCTGACATTTTTTACAGTTTAAGAACTAGCAGTCACCCCTCCCCATCCTCTAATTTTTTATTACACTTTGGAGTTGGGCAGACCCAATCTATAGCTGTTTTTAATTATTGAGTTGTGATAAATTTTGTTATTATTTGGGCCAGGTTATGCCAAATGAACTGAGTACCTATATGCAAAAAACAAAAACAAACAAACAAAAAAAACCTAGTACTTTGGAATACATAGCCCCTTGGGCTTTAACCAATGCAAAATTATTTTTCTCCTCCTATTCTTGAGAAACAAGGCCTCCATGTATCATTAAATGTGCAAGCTATACCATCAGCATTGAGGTGCAGCCACCATAGTGAGTCCTCTCTGATGAATTATCCCATTGTTCTTGGCAGAGCCCCTCCAATAATAGGATACCTTCCTTTTGAAGTTTTGGGAACCTCAGGTTATGACTACTACCACATTGATGATCTGGAGCTCCTTGCTAGGTGTCACCAGCACTGTGAGTACTGCTTTCTCACCCTGGCACGCAGGACTTCTAGTTCTGTCCATAGAGCCCCAACAGCAGGACTCCTAGCCTGGAAGTCTGCTTGTTACTCAGGTTCTTCCTGAGGTAGAAGATTTTGGCTTCTCTGAAATGACCCAAGAGTATGATGGAGGTTGTCTGGATGACCCTGTGTGTGTTTTCACCTAGAATTGACTTTGCTCTGCCTGGCCACACCCCAGCATCTTCCCAGTATCCCTCACATACACAAGCTGTTTAATCTTAAAGAAATGGAAAGGGTACTGGCCATTTTTTAAAGTTATGTAATATAGTATTTGAGATACAAAATACTGAATTTACATAACTTTCTTTAGCCAGAAGACAAGTATTAGACCTAAGCCACAGGCCAGATGATCAGCGAGGCCTAGGACATAAAGATGATCAGACTCTTCTTGCTGCTCTGTAGGAACAAAAGCTGATAAAAATGCAGAAATAGGTGACTTTATAAGATGTTGTTGGTGCAGCAAAGGAGAGGTACACAAGATATTGGGGGGTTCAGAGGAGGGTCCCTCATCTAGCTAAGGCAGAAGCATCAGGAAGGTTTTCTGCACAGAGAAGAGCGCTTGGCAAAGGTATGGGAGGCAGGACTTCTGGTGTGGGGTAAGGGAAAACTACAACCATGTCTGCATTCTCACTTAACAAGAGAATTTAAGAATTAACCATTTAAAGTCATATTTTTGGTGCCAAGTCCCTAATTCTGCACAGGAAGATTTGTAGTAACATTGACCTATGGATCCTGATCCATGGATTGACCACCAACACTGCATTTCTTTTACTTCTCACCCGAGGATATTTTTACTGATGTTAGAGAGAGAGGAAAGGGGAGAGAGACAAACAGAGAAACATCAATTCGTTGCCTCCCATACATGCCTGACCAGGGATCAAACTGGCAACCTATGTGCCCTGACTGGTAATCAAACCTGCAACCTTTTGGTGCATGGGACAATGCAACCAACTAAGCCACTCAGCCAGGGCCCAACACTGTGTTTTCACAGATGCCTTGTCTGTAGTGCCCATTATAATAACTTTCTCTTTTCTGCTGTCTTTGCTCAAGGAAGAACAGGCTTGGGTTTCATCAGGACCCACTGTTAAAATTTAAGGCTAATTGTCAAAACTTTAACTCCTTGCTCCTCAGAGGTGGTCCTTGAGCAGTCACGTGGCATCACAAGGAGTTTGCTGGACTTGCTAACACTCAGGTTCTCCCCACCAGCTGATGGAATCAGAACCTCCATTTTAACAAGACCTCCAAGTAACTGGTGGGCACCTGAAAGGTTGAGAAGCATGACTCCTTCAAGCCTCTGGCTACTTCTACCTCTCTCACAGAGAAAGGACACTTGAAATGCTGTGACTGTAGAATCCCCTTCAGCGTCCGGGGCTCGGGCAAGGCACACTTGCACCATCCAACCCACTCTCTTAATGAGCTGGGCCTCTCTCCTCTTCAGATATCACATTCTCCAAGTCAGAAGCTCCTTTTGTAGCTTTAGCTTCCTAGTTACAATTTCTCTTAACCACAAAGAGGTGCTAAAGCCTAGGCACTGCGGCAATAAAACCCAAATGGTTCTTCTTCCTGGGACCCACAGTTCAACTCTCTGCCCTCCAAGGCTAATAATTCAACAGCCTTTATTCTGCCCTGGGGAACCTCCAGAGAAGCCCCCAACAGCCTCACGGGGACACAGCCCTGCAGCAGTGGGCTTGGGATAGATGGCATCTGTAGCTACTGTCTTAGAACCATGTAGACTAAGGTTGAACTCCTGACTAATGGTGGCCAACTCAGCCCAGAGGACCCTGGCCAGTAGGTTTGCTCTGGGCTCCATTCTCCCAGTGTCTGGCCCCTCTATCATGTAGCTCCAAAGACAGCACTACATGCAGTAGGAAGATGTGTACCAGGAAAACCTGGATCTCTTTCTAATTAAACCCCCAGTTTGAAACTATCTGCATCTGCCAATATTTGAGAATTTTTAAGCTTTTGGGTATTTAGGAAAGCATATAAATCACTCCTCCATTGTTTAAGAATTCATTATCATTTACCATTATCCTGATAGTTACTAGTCACTTAAATACAGCACTAACTGGGGAAGTAAACAATGTCTGATACTGTCTTTTGGAAAGCTTATTTTCAAAAAGATTATTTTTGTGTTAATGTTCATTATATTCACACTCCATTTTCTACCAACAGTGATGCAGTTTGGTAAGGGGAAGTCATGTTGCTACCGGTTTCTAACCAAAGGCCAGCAGTGGATTTGGCTGCAGTCCCACTACTACATCACCTACCATCAGTGGAACTCCAAGCCCGAGTTCATTGTGTGCACACATTCGGTAGTCAGGTGCGTGGGGATGTGGCCCCTAACAGCTCCATCAGAACCCTGGCCATCTCAGGTAGTCCCAGCTTCTGAGGACCAAGCTCCAGGCTGGACTTCTTCCACTGGCCAGGGCTACACTCTGCAGCTAACAGAGTGATCACCAGAGCTCAACCCTTCCAGGCATATACCCCATTCTTTCCCCCAGCTCAGACTTCCTTCAAGCGTTTAGTCAGGTTTCTCTGAAGCCTCATGAGCTCTTTCAGGCAGCCCAGAACATCACTTAGTAAGTTACTGCTTCACTGACCTACTTACATATTTTCCCCTCATCGCTGTCCATCCACCATCCTTCCCTTATCATTGTTTTGAGAAGAAAATTAAAATTTTGCCTCAAAATACCTCAAACACCTAGTCCCCTTTATTTTTGATGCTTAAAAAAACCCTGATGGCAACTGAGGCTATGATGGGAAAAGAGCAAGGAGGCCAGCGGGCACAGGTTCCTGGCAGTTCTTAGGGGCTGCAGGGAGCCCCAGCCCAGTGTGGGGGACCAGGACTTCCAATGGAGGCAGCACATTTAGCACTTCATAGATGCTGCCTATGTCAGGTAATAATTCCCAAAGGTACAGGAAAAGTGTCATTTTTCCCCCCTGACTACAGAAATTTTAAGAATATCAATTGGTTTTAAACTTATCTAGAGAAGAGCACTTGAAGAGAGCAAAAAAAGAATGGTTAGATTGACAGGCATATATATGCATGCTGCATTTTATACATATATAAAATAAATAGGTGATAATAGATAATGATAAATACATACACACAATAGATATTACACATATGTCCTGTATTTTATATATATATATCATATATGATAGGTAGATAGATGATACATATATCCAGATGCTATTCATACATACTACATTTTATATATATATATATATATATATATATAATGTGTATGTGTGTATGTATATATATAACATAGCTGATAAGTATCTGTTGATGCTTACAGTTGATAGTTGATAAGTATTTATGTTCATGTGTATCTAAAGATAGATAGTTAGATGGCCGCATACTATACATACACATGAATATAAATAGTCAACAAGTAAATACTCTTCTTTAGTAAGTTAGGGAGAGAACAGAGAGAAGTGCTAGTTTTCTTGGCCAGTGTGTTTGCTCATCATATCACTTGCCCACTCTCAGGGACTCGATCTTGGCTAGATCACCCTTGGGTACTTCAGCAGCCAGTCCCACCCACTGTTACCAGCCTGTGCCTTTGCCAGAGGGTCCTTGTAACCCAGAGAAGGCTGGTCATCATTAACACCTTGTCCTTCAGACCCTTTCCTTGACCCTGCTCTTCCTCTCCATCCTCCACCTTGCAAATCTTAAAAAGAAACTCTCAGAGAAAAGTAAAGTGTGAACTGAGTGAATAAATAGGGTAAGAAGCATACTGCAGACTCCAGAGCTACTGTATCCTTCCAAGGTCCTTTCCCAGCCTTCATCTCCACACAAGCCATAACTAGGTCACCACACTGAACTGATTTACCTGCAGAATTTAAAAAGTGGGTCCATACACGAATCAGCAGTCTGGGTCTGGCTAGAGTTCTGGGTTTGGTTGAGAGAAAACTTTCTGAAGGTTGTAATTACTAAAAAAGTTACATCACTTCTTCATAGGCACACTCAGAGACTTGATCTTGGCTTTCTTAAAATCTAGACTCAGTAGATTTTAAGATAGTTTTCTAATCATTTGAAGGCTGAGATATACCCTGTAAATGAAAATGTTTTGGGACAATTATGTTTGGACATTTGTGGGGATAGGAAAGGTAAGTAAAGAAGAGAATAAAAATATCCTGAAAAAGAAGATATTCTGGCTGTCAAATTAGAAGTCACTGCAGTGGAATTTAGGGACAGACTGAAACTTCCTTCTCAGACAAGCACCAGAGCTAGTCCCCTTCATGGTGACTGTTCTAGGAAGGTATCACATAGAGACCTCCATACATCATGCAGCCCTCTTTGCCGCATCATCCTGGACTGTCCCATGTCCAGCTGTGGTCTCTTGATTTCTTGATTAGTTACTCAGATGTCCGGGTGGAAAGGAGGCAGGAGCTGGCTTTGGAAGACCCACCATCTGAGGCCATCCACCCTTCAGCACTAAAGGTATGCTGATCCCCGTCAGATGGGTTATCATAAAAATAAGAATAATAAAAACAGCATTTCTTGCCTTATGATCTCTTGCTGTGTTCCAGTACTCTTTGTGTGGTTTCAAGGTATTCATTTATTTTCCCCCATAGTGTTCCTGTGAGGTGGGCACTGCTACTATCCTCAGTCCTCATTCTTCAGATGAGGCACAGAACACACAAGGATGAGATAACATCCTGAAGACACCAAGGGTTACAACCCAAAGAGCTAAAAACAGCCTCTAGACTGAAAACATGGTTTGGCAACTTTTTGTCCTTCCAAGAATGGTTATAAGAATTCCACTTTGTATCTCTCCCACAGGAAAAAAAAACTGGGGGCTATTCCATCATCCATTGAGCATGAAATAATTCAGAGACCCCTGTGTGCCCCCTAGACTCAGTGTTGCTACACTATCTTCAAGGCTCACCCACCTCTCCTGGACACTTCCCATATCTGTGTCTGGGTCTAATTAACAGCCAGAGCTGAAGTATTTTCATTCATGAAACTGGACCTCCTTCCTGCCCCAGGCTAAGCTCATAGGTTCCCTCTGGCCAGGCTTCCCCCATCTTGGCAACTTGCAGGTACACAAGAGCCCTGTTCCTCAAAGGCCATTCTTCAAGTAAAAACAAATGTTGGGAGAAAATGGAAAAAACAAGAAAGGGAGGGAGTGTTGTGTTTCATCAAAACTAAGGAGCTATCAACTAATTATACATTCTACCATTATTTTATCCTCCACTAAGAAAAAAATTCTGCCAGTCAATCTGTGAAATAAGGATTTCTTTCATGAGTTGAAGAATATATCTCAATTTCAAATATGTCAACATATTTTAGAATTGTTGGAATATGGTTCAAGTTCCAGGCTGCCCATTGACTTAGAATTCAGAGTTTTTGGCCAAGGCTGACACAGTAATAATAGTACAGCAAAGACATCTGTGGTCTATCCAGGACCAAATTGGGAGGAAGGAAAAATCTCCTTTAAAGGACAAACAGCAGCCAGCGTCTTTGCAGAGCCTCCCTTGCTGGCTGCTACATGGGGTGCATTATAGGGTGATTCGTTACCAGCATCCTCATATGACCACCTGTCATTGTTTATAGAAATGTTTATTAGCCAGCTATGTCACATAATGCATCATGTATCATGTCTAAGAATGGAATTAAGCTGTTCATAGGTAGATGTTAGACACACCATGCATCATAGCTGAAGAACAGGATTAATGTATATTTTCCAGTCAGAGATTTATTATTGAATTTCTGATCCTTTAGGAATCCCAGAGCCCAGTGGAACGTCTTCCTATAAACATGCACATATGTGTAAATACACAAACATAATCTCAGGTGCCAGGTTATGAGGTCCTTTCCTTTCCTTTTAAAAGAAAAGCTCTAGGACAATGCTTTTCAAACTATCAGTAGTAATGGACCAGTTGGGTTTTTTTTTTTTAATGTCAAATATGTCACTGACTGCTGCTTGTATAAATGGCAGATTCTTGTGAAGTGTGGTGGCATCAAATGGCTATAAAAGTGTCTCAGTATTGAATCTCACTTTCTATAGTTATTTCTCTTTGGACCAGGAACACACAATTTGTAAATGGTCATGGTCCAGGGAGGGCCCAGGACCACACCCCCTAAAAGTCTTATCTAGGGGAGACTCTGTGACTAAACAGCAGAGTCTCAAAACTGACACTTAGCACAGCCAAACACATCCTGTATTTCTGTTTTACACAAAGGCCTGTTGGTCACACATTAATCATTTCAGACCTACATGAGCACATACACTGCATTCACCCTCACTGGAGCCATGACTAAGAGACAGAATGGCCATGTGGATCCACAATGATTAAGAGACCAGGTTCTCAGGTCTGTTGGTTCTATTGGGTATGACCAACCTGTCTGCATAGCCCAGTGGAAGCCAGGAGTTTCATCATCCTTCTAAGACTAAGTGGGAACATGGCTCAGGAGAGTCATTATCATATTTATTCTTCAGCTTAAAAATTATTTTACCTACTTTCTTATACCTAAGAAACTTAATGCCTTGCAGGATGGAAAGGTAGCTCCTCAGTGTTGAAAAGTCACAGCTGCTTTCTCATCGCACTCTATTTGAAACAGAGAAAAGCAAGGAACCAGCATCAGTTACAATCCAGGGGTCCAAGGGTAGGGGGCCATTGGCCATTTGCCCCTTCTGCTCTTGGGAACCCAAAGGCTGCAGAGGAGTAGCAAGTAGTGGGAGCGAGCACAGGAAGTGTCCAAGAGTCCAGAGGTATTTAGTTCATTTGCAGCGTTCACAATCTAGTACCACCAGCAACCTTTTATCTAGAACCTGCTTCTTTCCTCCTTTTGGGGAAGTCAAAATTCTGAGCATTAGGATGACAACTTTAAGGAAAAAATAAAATGCAAAGTCACAAAAATCTAACAAATTAAGATACAAGGTGAGAAAATATAACTGCTGCTCATAAGCTGCAATTCTCTCAAAGATTATATTTATAGAGGTGTACAAATATTCCACCCAAGTGGGTTTGCTATTATCACCAAACAGCTACAGGAGTTCTCTCAACAACCTTTACATTTTCCTACATATTTAGTGGAGAACTAAAGTTTTGTGATTCATTACAGTGGCCTTGTAATTTGATATCAGGTATTGTGATCCCTCCTATTTTGCTCTTCTTTCTTAAAATTGCTGCAGCTATTTGGGGTCATTTATGGTTCCATATAAATTTTTGAAGTGTTTGTTCTATATCTTTCAAATATGCCATTGGTACTTTAATAGTATTGCATTGAATCTATAAATTGCTTTGGGTAGTATGGACATTTTGATGATGTTAATTCTTCCGATCCATGAACACGGTATATGTTTCCACTTGTTTATGTCTTCCTTAATTTCTCTCTTCAGTGTTGTATAGTTTTCTGAGTACAGGTCTTTTACTTCCTTGGTTAGGTTTCTTCCTAGGTACTTTATTTTTCTTGTTGCTATATCAAATGGGATTTTTTTTTCCTGATTTCTGTTTCTGATATTTCATTGTTGGTATAGAAAAATGCCTTTGATTTCTGAATATTGACTTTGTATACCGTTGTTTTGCCAAATTCATTTATTAGGTCAAGCAGTTTTTTGGTGGAGTCTATAGGATTTTCTATATACACTATCATGTCATCTGCAAACAATGACAATTTTGTTCTTTTCCAATTTGGATGCCTTTTATTTCCTTTTGTTGTTGGATTGCTGTGGCTAGGACTCCCGATACTATGTTGAATAGCATGGATGGAACTGGAGAGCATTATGCTAAGTGAAATAGGCCAGGCGGTAGAAGACAAATACCATATGATCTCATCTTTAACAGGAACCTAATCAATAAAATGAACAAGCAAGCAAAATATAACCAAAGACACTGAAATTGAGAACAGTCTGACAGTGACTGAAGGGGAGAGGGGAGGGGATTATAGGGGAAAAGTGTGAAGGGTTTGCAGGAACAATTATATAGGACACATGGACAATAACAAAGAGGGGTGGAAACAGGGGAGGGAGGTGGGGAGGGGTTGGGGGAAAGGCAGAAAACTGTACTTGAACAACTAAAAACAAACAAATAAACAAACAAATAAAACAAATAAAAATAAAGTTACAGGATTCACTTTCATCATCTTGATGCTAAAATGTGGATTGTGTGTGTGAGTGTGTGTGTTTGTTTCTGGACTAGGGCTCAAGCCTGGAACCTTGGCAGCACTTTAAGGCACTTGACATGGACGCCTCAGGCCTTAACACAAGTTACTCATCATCAGTGTCCTCAAGAAGTTCCCATAAATCCTCACACACAGCCATGTCAGAATCCATCTGTGAGTACAATGATGCGGATTGGGAAAGGGGTGGGCGCCCTGTTGGGGTTGAGGGGAACAGAGCCCCAGGAAGGGCCTCAGGCCTGAGGAGAATCAGGCCTGTGTGTTCCTATGGAGCAGAAGTGCACACTCTGTTCACACTCCTGCTTCCTTTTCCACGGGCTTCCTGCCTTCTACCTCTCCAGGTCCTGATTACTTCAGTATATGAAGCAGACGTAACACAGGTGATACCCAGATTTGATAAGCTGGCTAGGTTTTAGTAGCTCTGGTAAGATGAAAATGGTCAGGCAGGTGGCTAAAGCAAGTGGTGGAGATGAAGTGTGGGGATGGTCTGCTATCATATGTTGGCTCTGGGGCCAGGGTGGGAACTAGCAGAACATTGTGGCTCTGGAACCCACTTCTGTTTCTGCTGGACTTCCTTTATCAGAGATTGCAGTCAAGCCCTTTTTTTATGCATGCAGGGTCATTGTCCCCTCTTGATAAGAAAGTGGTTAAGTATGTGTAAGTCAGGAAGGTGATCTGTCGCTTTCTTCCAGCCATTCCAAGCAAGCTGATGACAGAGGCCAGCACCACAGCTATGCCAAGATTGGCTGTCCTGCCCCAAGAGCTCCCTGTGCAAGGGCTCAGCCAGGCAGCCGTGATACCGGTATGTGTGTGACCCCAGATTTCTTAACCAGGGCATGCAGTACTGTATCAGGCCTGCAGGGTCACAGATGCTGTGCTGCCTGTGCCCAGAGAGCCAGTTCCACTTAGAGACTGAGAGTGTTGGGTGGCAGGTGGGGGTGGGAAGCTAGGTGATTTTATTGGCAACTAATTTTAAATATTTTCATACCAAAATTAACATGGATGTATATTCCTGAAATGCAAAATACATGTGAGTTTTAAAGATAAAGCTCAAAACTTCAAATTTGGGGTCATACCCCTAGATGCTCTGGGGGGCATGATTAGGATCCTCCCATTCTGGATCTAGTTTTCCTCCAGTGAAAATGTGGGAGAAGCTTGGTTGTCAACCAAACTATACTTCTGCATATACCAGGCAGTGTCCTTGATACATGCCAGACCTCTCCAAAAGTCAGGCCATGAGCAGCCTCTTAGAAAGCACGCTGCTGTCTGCAGAATCACTGATGTGCGGCACTCCAGCAATCTACTGTCATGTACAAATTCATCACACTCAGAGACACAAAGCAACAGCCACTTTTCACATTCATGGATTCAGAGTCAAGAAGTTACAAAGGGCCTGCTGCATGGTGTCAGAGGCCTCCCTGGCCAGGGCTGGGAACCTCATCCCTGGTGTGTCTGCACTAATGTGTCCAGCATTTGGGCTGGGCTGGTGGAAAGCTGAGCCCAGCTGAGACTGTCCACCATTGATTTGCACAGGCCTCTTCATGTTCCAGGCTTCTTATGGCTCAGTGACTAAGTTTCAAAAGGCAATGTCTAGAGAGGGAGCTGCATGGCTTTCTCTGACCCAGCCTTGAAAGGTCCACAGCATCATAACTTCTACCATACCTCTTGACATCTTGGGTCAAAGCAGTCACACACTCACTCAAAGAGAGAAACATAGATCTCCACCTCTAGATAGAAGAAGTGTCAAGAATTTTAAGGGCCACATCTAGACAGTTGCCGAATACCTCATACTCATCTCTCATTGACATTTTGGAAATGGGAGTAAATTTGCCACCTTTCTGCTTGCCATCACCACAAAGATTATATACACACTGCTTGAAAAGCATGGGTGACACATTTTCTTTTCAAATAGAGTATGATGAAAAAAAACACTTTCTTTCTCTCCAGTCTCTCTTAGACAAGCTTGTAAGCTGTGATTGCCCTTCCACTTATACATGGCTGCCCAGGAGAACTCTCCCTGCCACTGGTGCCCACACAGTTGGGAGAATCAACCAGTCTTTGGTTTAGCCCTGTGCCTGGGACTTCTCACTCAAAACAAAGTCTCCTGTTGTCATTTCCTCCCATGTTGTATTTTTTAAAATTATTTTATTGTTGTTCAATTACAGTTGTCTGCATTTATCCCCCCCACCACTCCCCCTACACCCCATCCATCCCCACCTCTGTCCCTTGCTTCCACCCCTCTTGGTTTTGTCCATGTATCATTTATAATTGTTCCTGAAAACCCCCATTCCCCCATTGTTCCTGAAAACCCCTCTTCCCCCATTACCCTCTCCCACCTCCCGTCTGGTTACTGTCAGATTGTTCTTAATTTCAATGTCTCTGGTTATATTTTGCTTGTTCATTTTATTGATTAGGTTCCTGTTAAAGGTGAGATCATATGGTGTTTGTCTTTCACCACCTGGCTTATTTCACTTAGCATAATGCTCTCCAGTTCCAGCCATGCTGTGACAAAGGATAGGAACTCCTTGTTTCTTTCTGCTGCGTGGTAAAGAACCCTGAAACACCAATCCAAAAGAACCTATGCACCCCAATGTTCACAGCAGCACAATTTACAATAGCCAAGTGTTGGAGGCACCTAATTGCCCATCAGTAAATGAGTGGATCAAAAAACTATGGTACATTTACACAATGGAATCCTCCCATATTGTCTTGATGGCACTTTCCATTTAGGCTGCTTTTCACAGTTTCTAGGGAATAGTTTTGGAATAACTTCAGAAGAACCCTTTTACTTTTCTTTTAAAATTCAGCCTGTGATGCTGAAGGTTTCATTTGTTTTTTTATGCATTGTCTCTCCATCCACCCAAGTGGGGTGGAGAAAGATCAGAAAACAAGGTCTATCACTCCCCTGACTTCCCAGGAGGCTCTAACAGATTCCAGGCAGAGTCTGGCAAATTGCACCACTATTCACTGCCCGGATGAGTTCATGGACATAGATGTGCCTGGTGTGTCTGGTATTAGTATTGAGCAAAAAGGGTAAGGACTGCACACAAAGCCACCACTTCTTATCAGTACAACCTCATTCACACTGCTAAGAATCATTAGTTAGGGAGAATAACCAAATCCACCAAGAACAGAGTCTGAAGAGGAAGCAAGGGAGGGGAAGTGGCACAGAGCTGCCAAGCTCTTGCAGGTAGCAGCAGCTTTGCAAAGCACACTCTGGTGGGAGGCACCACCCACCTTGAGTGACCTCAGGAGCTTGCTCAAGGACCACCTGCTCCCTGTAGCAACCTACTATCCCACCATTTAACAGGAAACACACACCTACACATTTCAGAAGTGAGCTCTTCACTCTAGTACAGAAGGGCCTCCTTTAAGCCAGGAAATCCAGCTGGCTGAGAGACAGCACCCCTGTACCTCTGTAATGACCCAGAAACAGTGTCTGTTAACAGAGCCTCTCTTTTCCTCAGGCTCCTCTGCCTGTTCCATTGTCCTGTGACCTCACACAGCAGCTCCTACGTCAGACCATTTTTCAGAACTCACCTGCTGCCCTGGCAGAGGTGCATCTGGGATTGGGGTAAAGGGAATCCGGCAGTGGAATTTTCCCAAGACGGGACATATGGTGTCCTCTTGAGTATATGGACACATTGGTGCTGATGAATAGCATGTGCTTAGGTACCAAAATAGGGAATATTTATCCCAAAGTGCAGGAGGGGCATGTTGAGCTACAGACTTTATTTCTACACCCGCCCTGTTCACAATTCTCATCCTTTCCAGAGACATTCTGCCTGTTCTTTTCTCCAGCATCTATTTCTCAGTCTTTTAAATAACTTTATTCATCTGTCACTTTTCCATGTTCCTCTCATTTTTTACCACTCTACATTGGCCCTGATATTTTAGGAAAGGTCTGAATTAGGCCAAATATCACAGAAAGACTCTGAAAGGCTTTAAAAGCTGTGAGTTCAATACTATAGATATCACATTTGTTTAAAAAAGGAGGGGAGGTGTTCATGACTTTGCTGAGTAACTCCTTCCTTGTTTCAACAACATTCACATGTTCCTGTTTGGGTCTGTCTCTGAGCTAGAGTGAGAGCTGCAGAGATGCTATAACACAGCCCTTTGTATTTTGAGTGAAGTTGGGCATATAAAGAGAGCAGCCACCATAGTAGGCCATGTGTTTTTATAGAACCAGTAAGAAAATATTCTGCCTAGGAAAATCCTATGTGCCTTCTCAGAGGAGGTGACACCTGAGCTGGGCCTGGAAGGATGAGTGGGAGGTTGCCCGATGGAGAGATAGAGGGTCAGGGTCAGCAGGGAAGAGGGACCCAGGTATGTGCTTCAACAGGGAAGTATGGAAATGTCTAACAAGCCTAGGCCTAGGCCCCATCAATAGTGGTCTTGAATGTCCCTGAAAAAAGAAAAACACAAGCTAGCACATGCCTCTTCCCAAAGTCAGGTTTGAGTAAAGATGTAAAAGCTACTCATTCAGAGTCAACTAATTAAATTAGTCTGTATTCATCCTTATTAAGGAAAAACATAAAGAATTTTTTTATGTTCAAATTTCCAGACCCAAGTTGGTAATGCAATTAGTAACTTCTTCAATCCAAAGACACAGGAAATGAGAATTCCTTTCACCGCTGGTCTTGCATAATCAAGAATTTCTTTGTTTTATAATAAATATATGATGAGTGGTTAAGGCCCTTTTCTACATTTAACAAACCTCACTTGTTTAAAGATTTTATTTATTTATCTGTTTGTTTTTTCTTTATTTATTTTAGAGAGGGGGGAAAGAAAGGAGAAAGAGAGGGAGAGAAACATCAGTGTGTGGTTGACTCTTGTGCACCCTCTGTTGGGGACCTGACCCACAATCCAGCAGGCAAGTGCCCTGACTGGGAATTAGAACCAATGACCTTTTGGTTTCAGCCCACACTCAATCCACTGAGCTACACCAGCCAGGACAACAAACCTCATTTTAATTAATAAAATAGTTCTTAGTCTATTAGGCATATTATACTCAATAACTATTCCTTAAGACATTTTTGCATAATGCTGACCTTTCAAGTCAGTCAGTTTTTCTCATACCTACCCCATGTGCAACAATGAATTCTATAGTTTTCTCTCTTGCCTTCCCTGAGGTTATTACTATATCACCTTGTCAGAAAAGGGGGAAAAAAGAAAATCCAAAATCTGGGAAAATAGTGGTTTTGCTTCATACCATTTTTTTAAAAGTCTCTAAGTTAGAGTAGATCTCTTTATGATAAAGGCCAAGGTTATGACCATAATGCTTGAGTGTCCCGAGTGCCTTGAGAAAATAAGAATCATACTAGAAGTACCACTTATGAAGCCCAGTGCTGGCCCCAGAGGACTGCCCAGTCCCTCAACCCAGAAAGTCTGCACTGCTCGCAGCAGAAGCACCCCTGAGTATGTCCTGGCTTTCAAGCACTCACCACAGAAGCTTTGTTTTTTGTTTTTTAAATTATCCGACCTAGCTTGTTTTCTTTCTCAGTTGAATTCTGTTTCAGAATCCCAGCTGAGTGCTTTGATTACTTACATTCTGATGAAGATTTTTGTAATAATAGCCTGGTATAGTATAGGTCGTTTTAAACATACCTCCCATCCCATAATCCCCCCTCTCCATTGGCCTTGTGTCTGGGTAAATAGGTGGTGACAGGGAGCAGAGATTACCTGCAAGACTTTCCTATATCCAACCTCTGTCCCAGAAAAGGATTGAGAGGTGTAAGTAAGCAAGGGTAGAAGGTGGTCTTGGAAAAACAGATATCAATGTTCCTATTACAAGGCCACCTCAGGATAAATGTTATGTGATTGTACTATTTTTCTCCTTAGTTCTTTTATGCACAGATTTCTAAGAAATCTCTAGCCACAAGTAAACCTGGGTGAGGGGAGGGAGAGTAATAAATCCTCCCTCGCCCCAGACTGGCTGGATGGATGGCAGGGCTCTGGTGAAAGTTACCATTAAATTCGAGCTCACTAGGGAGTGGTTACAGAAGACCTCTGTTCTCCAGGATCAGATTTAGGATGATGAATGATAGGACCCAAAAGTGCCTGTGAAGCCATCACATGCAAATCTTCTTGCCCTAGATAAGAGGAAAACAGAGTGGGAGGAGCTGTCTGATGCTTTTGGAATTCATCTCCAAAACCATTTGTCTATCTGACGAGATTGGAAATACCAGTCTGTACACATTGCTTACAAAAACATGTCGCAATCCAGTGGCCCTTCCAGACTGCAGATTCTGGTGGGCCTGAGAAAAGCTCACCCCTACTCTGGCTGTGGGTCACTCAGTAGGGACTCTGAGTGGAGAAGGGACAGAAATGAAAGTGGGTAGGGCCACTCAGAACAGCAGTAACATCTATCTGTGAGGCAGAAATAACTCTTTCATCTGGTGTGTTTCTGACTCTACCTTGAAGTTTCCAACACAGTCCAGCATGTTCCAGACCATCAAAGGCCAGCTGGAGCAGCGCACACGGGTCCTGCAGGCCAATATCCGGTGGCAGCAGGAGGAGCTACACAGGATCCAGGAGCAGCTGTGCCTGGTCCAGGACTCCAGCATCCAGGTGATGCCACTGCTGGGCCAGTGGTCCAGTGTGGCCTGTCTTCCCTGCTCCCTGATGGGTCCTGATCCACCCTTGCAGAGAAGGCAGAGCATCCTTCCCAATCCCCCTCTATGGCCTGAACGCACCCTGCTTACAAGCTATGTTGAAACCTCCATAAAAGGAGTACAGGAATAAACACCACCTCCTTTGTCCCCAACTCCTGGCCAAACATAAAGTTTGCATGACATCTTCACTCTCCCGTCTCTGTTGGGTACATATTTGCTGCTTCACCTACATTTTCACTCACGGGTTTGGAGGTGGATCACCTTGGGCTGATGCCAGCCTCCATCCTGAGTTATAAACTCCAGCTCCTGTGTAATCCTGCATCCCTAGCACCCAGCCCAGGCTGCCAACAGAGACATGGGGGCAGCTCTGCTTCTGCTTCCCCTCAGTTAAAGCAGAGGTAGGAGGTGTGGGAAGTGATGACATCTGCACCCTGATGGGGACAGCAGAGGGGCTGGGGACTGGAGGTCAGCCAAATTGGAGTGCTCTGCAGGCACTGATGGCAGCAGCTTCTGTGACCCCAGTTGTCACTTCTGGAGTCCTTTTGAGAGTTTCATCTCAGAGGAAACGTATACAGGGTCCAGCAGAAGTAATGCTATTGAGTGTGGTTGGTGGAGTACGTAAAGGTTTCCAATGAAGTGGATGGTAATTTGAACATTTCACCTAAAATGTCATATGGTGTGCTTGAGTGTGATATTGTTATGTTACAGAATCACATGCTTATTATTTTGTAATAAAAGATTTGGTATAGATTACCAGCTCATAAAAAGAGAGGGTTATTTGTGCTGGACTCTGATAATTGGGCCTATTTCAAGGATAAATTATTTTTACCAAGTGTCACTTATATCAGTCCAGGACTGTTTTTCTTCCAAAGTGCATTTTTTTGACCCAACCTTTAATTGTAAATGTAATTCTAGCTACTTGAAAGTTTTTCCTGAGAGCTCTAAGCCTTTGCACCTCATTAGAAGACGCATAAAGTAGACAAGACCCCTAGGAAAAATGGCTGGGGCACAGTCCCTGCCCCACCCCCTCACTGTCCACACAGTTCCTCAAGTGCAATGAAACCCTAATGAGCAGGCCATGTGCAGGCATCATGCAATGGTGTGGAGTTACTGGGCAATGGGGAACACCTGGGCTCCCTAGCGATGCCCTGCACAGCTCCCTGAGCCCAAGGCTGACTGACTACTCAGAGAGAACAGAGCTCAGCAAGACTGACAGCTCCTGCCCACTGTCACCCAGGCCTGCTTGTGTATGTGTGCCCAAGCTTTGTTGAGAAAGTCACAGCCACCCCCAGAGCCCTGCTGTTCTGCCCCAGCCAACCCTCTCCAGGGACAACCCTGACATTGATGAGGGAAAAGACTGAATCATTTACATGAAAAGAAATGGAATCACTGAGGTGTCTAAGACCCTTTTTACTAATTCTTCCCCAGCTGTACTCTTTTCTCACTAATCCAGGGTCCAACTGATAGAACGTGCCTGACTCCAATTAATTGAATGGAGTTTTACACTAACACAGGAAGGGGGAAATTGAGCCAGAGACCACTGAAAGCAAGGTAGGTAGGCATATGAACATCCTCCTCAGAGCCCAGACTTTTCTATTTTCCACCTTTTCAACATAGACTCTAAAATATCAGGCAACACAAGTAAAGACTTATTACAAAGAATTACTCTTTTGTTCCTCATGACCAGTACATTTTGTTAACCCCCAAATCACATATGCCAGTGAGCACCTGGGTCTGTGAGGAGTAATGTGGAAACAAAGTCCTCAGCTCTATCTTGGTGTGTTCCTTCTGGCTTCATTCCTGTGACATTATCTTTGCTGTGGGATTATCCAGAGAACATGAAAATCCACAGATAATCAACCAGGGAATACTTCCTCCAACAATCAGCCTTCTTGTATTTTTTCAAGTTTAGAGATTTAAAGAAATACCTTTCAAAATATTTAACCAATGTGTGATATTTGTTTAGAAAAAAGAAACTATATAATTCAATCATAAGAAAAACAAGTAAAAATTACTCCTCCCCCCAAAAGTGGGAATAGATTAAATAACAATGGCAAAACGTTTATAATTGTAGAAGCCTAATGAATGATACATGGAGTTTCACTGAACACTATCTCCATTTTGTGTATGTCTGAAATATTCTAGAATCATTAATATTCATTGATGTAAGCAGATAAAAATCATGAAAAACCACGTATGTGTGTAGGATTGGTTTGTTCTTGAAATTTAGAAGTGTATTTTTTCTCTGATAACTTTTCCACTTGAATTAGGGAACAGTTTTTCTCTTTCTGCTTGTACAATTGACCGTGCAGCCCTTTCAAGAAGTCACGGCTGGCTGTGCACAGCCGCACATCAGGGCTACCCCTGCTCATCTTTGTCCTTGCTCAGTAGGCTTTCCTGCTCTGCTCTTGGGCTTGGAGCTCCCACTGGGACTTTGTGTGACTGTGTTGTTTGCTAAATATATTTTTTTAAAAGATTGGGTTGTGAGGGAGCTGTCCTCTTGTGTGTCACTGTTTGTACCTGGATGTAGTCACAGAGAAGAGGCCACCTGAGGGGAGCGGCTGAACAGAGGGGCTCCCTCGCCCCTTGCAGTCCTGGGAAGGCTCCCGTCTCTTTCCTTTTGAGAGCATGCGTGCTCTCTGCTGGCCATTAAAAGAAATGCCTGGAAAGACAGGTAACAAGGGCTATTGTTCTCCCTCCGCCCTTTCTTTTTTCCTTTTTTAAAGATTTTATTTATTTATTTTTAGGCAGAGGGGAAGGGAGGGAGAAAGAGAGGGAGAGAAATATCAGTATGTGGTTGCCTCTCACACACCCCCCTACTGGGGACCTGGCCCACAACCCACGCATGTGCCTTGACTGGGAATCAAACTGGTGACCCTTTGGTTCTCAGGTGGGCGCTCAATACCCTGAGCCACACCAGCTAGGGGTCCTTTCTTTCTTCCATTCATTCCTCCCCTGTATCCATCCACCCACCCATCCGTCTTTCACCCAGCCAGCCAGCCAGCAAATGCCCAGGCACTTGGTTAGGCACTTTAGGGATACAGAGCTAAATAGGAGAAAACCATACATTAATGGGACACAGGAGCAAACCAAGTATATGTGTTGTTATGAGATGTGTGCTGTTAGTATCACTGTTTTATTAATAAGAAAACTAAGACTTTGAAAAGCAGCCCTGGCTGGTGTGGCTCAGTGGATAGAGCGCCAGCCTGCAACAAGGGGTTGCAGGTTCAATTCCCAGCTGGGGCACATGCCTGGGTTGTGGGCCAGTGCCTGATGGGGAGGAGTGGGAGGCAGCCACATATTAATGTTTCTCTCCCTCTTTTTCCCCTCTATCTAAAAATAAAATAAAATCTTTAAAAAAGAAAAGTTATGAAAATCACCCAAGTTTGGTGGGGCTGGAATTTGAGCTAAGGTATGTCTGACTTAAGCTAGAGTGTAGCCTGTCATAAATAAAGATTGCATTTATTTGAGCTGTAATCAGAAGGTAAATTGTATCCTACCAGAAAAAAAAACATGTTATTTGATTTGGTATGAGTATGAAATGAAGTCTGAGTCACCCTATGTGCTATAAAGAAGCCATGTTATAATGGGTAACAGGAATTACACAAAGCACTAATCTAATCCTCAGACTGAATCTGTACTGAATGGGTAGTAAATCTGAAATGATGGATACCTAGAAAAAAATTTTAACCTCTAAAGTAAGAAAGAACCCTCATTTCACACTGCAGACTCCTCTGTTAGGGCTGGATCTGTGACAGGAAAGTGGGGAACAGGTGGTGTGGTGGGAAGTACACTACATGGGAAAACTAGTCAAGCTAGGCCACCCACTGACCTCGGGCCTCTGTAAGATGCTGACTCCAGCTCTGAACTAGACACTTGAACTGCCTGACCTACAAGTACTCTTCCAAACATCTGCCTGGCATGGTTCTATATCCACCATCCCAAAACCATTCAGCAAATACTGCTTGTTGGTTCTGTACTGCGTAGGAGGCTACCTCACTGATTGCAGGAATTGGTGTTCAAACTCCAGATGCTAGGACAAAGAGAGCTTTCCCTGAAGAATTGAAAGGTAAAGGCTTAAAATGGAGTAGAACAGTTTGTCAAGAATCAGAATATATAAGTAATATTACTCTTTATGCTGCCTAAGTAATCACTAGTTAACATTTTGAATGCCCAAGAGAAGCTTTTGTAAAAGAACTAGTTACAGGTCTTAAGTTGGAATTATTATTAAAAATATTAAAGTTGTTTTTCCTAAGCCACTAGAGTCAACATACAGATTATCTTGTATTTACAAATCTACTGATTTGGTCTAAAAGAAGCAGTGTTTTTATTTTTTTATTTATGTTTAATTAGTTTATAAATTTAACAGATTGTAAATAACATTACCTACAAAAGCCATTACTTTACAAATTTAATTATACCTAAATCTTTCAAACATTTCACATAACTAACAAGGCAGACTTGTAAGTCTAAGAATTAAAATCTTTGTGAGCACCTAAGCAATTCTTTTTAATCAAATACATCAATCTTATAAATAAGGTAGATCAAAGTTCTCACAAACACTTCAACACTCTTTATAAACATGATCAAATTCTCCTAAACCTTTCAAATTAAAATCACCAAGTTAATGTATCACAGCCTCTTAAATTATTTCAGAGATATTTTAGATAACATAGTGTATTGAGAGTATCACAAAGACTATAAAGCTTACTCTTCAACAAGATTTTAAAGTACATAGACTTGATATGACATCATCATAGCCATACCCCTTTGCCTTCCTGGAGTACAGTCACCTTATCAATGAGAGCAAATCTGCCATCCTGGCTGGGAGCACTGGGTTGAAATTGCCCATCTACAATATGGGTACAAACCCTGATAATTGATCAGAGATTCAAGGCTGGGCACAGGGCCTGATCCATGCCACAAGTTAGCTAACTCTCTGCTCCCATTATCACGTCATTCATTCCATTCACAAGATATTCCTCCCTTCTAACAATAAACTGATAAGCCAGCCTAGACTCCATGAGAGTCCCTCAATTTATTTTTAAATTTTATTTTTCAATTACAGTTTATATTCAATATTATTTTGTATTAGTTTTAGGTTTATATATGTCAATTTATTGATAGACCATCTGGGTGTAGCATCTTGAACTGTTAGACTCCCATCACTAGTCTATTACCTTCTTGAAGTCAGGGTCAGTGTCTCTGTCTTGTCCAGTGCTTTGTTTCAGGGACCTTGCCCTGTGCTGTGGTATCTGGGCACTTCATGTCTCCATGTTCAGTGAGAGAGAGTGAGAAAGCAGACTTCTTCCCATGGACAGAAGATACAAGTGCAGACCTATAGAGGCCCTGAGTACACCTTAAAGGCATTCCTGTTGTGCTTCCAGATGTTTCTGCAGCAGTCAGCTGTATCCCTGAGTTTTAGCAGTACCCAGCAGCATGATGCTCAAAAGCAGCCCCCTCAGAGGTCAGCCCCAGGGGCCCAGTCCCCACTCACCACAAACCCTCAGCTTCCAGGGCAGATAACCTCCACCCAGGTCACAGACCAGCACCTGCTCAGAGAATCAAGTGTGACATTAATCCAGGTAAACATCCTCACACATGTGTCCCCACAAGTCTCTATTATCCACTCCTGGTTTTAGTCACTATCTGTGACAACACATGTCATCCACTTCTGTTTGTTGTTCTTTTCCCCAGGGACCACCATGCTCCTCATCCCCCAGATTCCCTTCTAAGCTTTTCCTCACACCATTACCACAAACTAAAAGTCACCAGTGGCCTTGTTACCTGACAATGAATAGCACTAGAATTCAATGGAATTGAGAGGTCCTGAGCATCTACTTCTGGAGGCTCAACAGGACACAGCTTCCCCTCAGGCCTCCTATATTCACACATACAGTCGTGGATCTAGTGAACCTCTGCAGAACTCCTGTTATTCACAGTCCCCAAAGGAATAAGAGTTGTCCTTGACCTGAAAGAGCGTGTAGTCTAGTGGGACCTCTAGGAATGTAAACAGATACTGTGCAATAAAATGTGGAGAAGTACATGTAGCAGAGAGTTTAGTCCACCTTCACCTAAACTTAAGAGTTTTACTTTAAAATACAGCCTTTTTGTTCTAAAGATCAACAGAAAAATCAATGGCTGAGAATAGCCAGGAAATTGTTGGAAAAGAAAAACTGAGGCAGGATTGACACTATCTGATATTGAAAGATTTTGGAGATGCTCTGGGAATTAAAACACTGTGGTGCCATCATGTTAGTAGACAATTAGTGAAACAGAGTAGAAAACCCAAAAGGAAACCCAAACCCATCCCCTCATTCACTGATTATTTCACTCAACATATCTTTATTTAGCACTCACTGCATGCCAGGCACTAAGTTCTAGGTACCAAAGGACAGCAGTGAACCAAAAAGAATCTCTGATCCAGTGGGAAGGGAGAAAGAAATAAGTAAAAATCATAGCATGTCAATGGCAATACAGGAACACTGATGAAGTAGGGGATGGGTTGGAGTTTTAACCAGATGGCCAAAGAAGGCCTCACTGAGAAGATGGCACTGACACAAAGACCTGCAAGATGGGGGAATGGGCATGTTGGTGGTGGGAAGAGCCTTGCACATGCAGGAATCAGCAAGTGCAAAGGACCTGGTGCAGGAGTAAGCTGAGGATCCTGTGTCTGCAGGGGAATTTGTTAAGCAGAAAATTGTTCAATTCAACACACATCTGTGGCTTGTCTACTGAAAGTCTGGCACTGTCCTAGGCCCCAGGATTCAAAGAATCCCTGAGGTGCTTATAATTGAATGGCAAAGACAGTCACAAGATCACAATAATAGTCAGTAGGTTCTAAGGTAGACAAGAGACCTAGGAGTGTGGAGGAGGGAGGTTCTGGGAGGGTTCCTGGGGAGATGACAACTCAGCAAAGTCTAAGTTTTGCCTTTCTTGTTAAAATGAGGCTCAGGGTCCCAAGTCAACCAGAAACATGCAGATGATACCAGCAGGTCGCCACCCTGTGGGCACCCTGACAACCTTGTTCAGCAGCCCCACGGCTGTGCTCTCACCAACTCTGAGCCTGACCACACTGGCCTCTAACAACCAGGACACCAACCAGTGCCAGCCCAGCCCGGACTTTAGCCATGATAGGCAGCTCAGGTAGGGAGCCTGTTCTTATTTATAAGATAACTGAGGCTGAGCTTGAGACTCCTCATTTCAGTAAAGTTCAGATTCCCAGGCCTCTGTAGTTGATCTCAGCTAATACAGAGGCAAAAGACAGTGGGGTTTTGATGGCCAGAGGACATGGTCTGCTGTGTTCCTCATCCTCTGAGAAGAGCAGGCAAAAGGATTCCTGCAGACAGGAAGGGCCCAGCCAGGCTGGACATGTGCTGAGATTATTCATCATCCAGCAGGTCTACAGTTTAGGTGCTGATCAATTTCCCATTTGTCTCTTCCTCTGCACCAAGGCTATTGCTGAGCCAGCCAATCCAGCCCATGATACCTGGGTCCTGTGATGCAAGGCAGACCTCTGAGGTTGGCAGGACTGGACAGCATGTCAAGTAGGTGGCCAAGTGGAGGGAGGAGGCTGAGACCTCCACTGGATGGTCCCAGGCTGGCAGGCTCTCACCTGCCTGGACCCGCAGCTCCCCCATGAGTCCCACATCCTCTGAAGGACTCTACCCTCAGCTTTTCTTCTGCCATTTCCCATTTTGAGTAGATAAAACTTTGTGTCAGTGTTCCATGCTTAGAACAGGACCCAGATGAAACAATTAATCATATCCCTAGCTTTTCATCATCCTCTGATGTCTTTACAGGTCTAAATGTCTTCACCCCCAGCAGTATCCCAGGTAAATGTAGCCCTTGGCTCCAGCTGACCAGCACATGCTGGCAGATTCCACAGGCACACGTAGCCTGCTCTGTGATTCTAGAACTATGCTGCAGGACTGTGAGACCTTGCAATGTGGACCCTCTGTCCCTCCCAGGCACACAACTATCTCTCTCTCCTTTCCCCAGGAGAAACCCCAGGAGCAGAAGCAGCTTTGCTTGGCTGTTTAATTCTAGAGACAAAGGTTACTGGAGATAGAGAAAAATACTTGAACAGCTACTGGAAAAGTGTCTGGCCCTATGAAATGAAGCATAAAAAGATCTCACGTCTTTTTAATGTAAACATTTTTTTATATAAACCACGATTTAATTTGTGATAGAAGTTCACCAGGACGGTGCTAGCTAATTAGGCCTGGCATGCCTCACACAGAGGCCTTATAGTCATCCCCTAGGACCTTCCCCAGAAGCCCTTTCTCCTGTGTCCTCCCTCAGCCACTTACACTAGTAACAGCAGACGGTTGCTGAGTATTTCTGAGGGTCAGTGGTCTGTACCTACATCATTTTATTTTGTTCTATAAAAACCCCAGGGGGGGGGGCACATGGTTCGGAAGGAGTGCAAAGTGCAGAAGCTGCCTCTAATTCTTTGATGGTGCTCTCAATCAGGCGGTGGTGGTAGGGTTGGTTTTGAATTTTCCCTCTTCTTCCTTAGGTCCAAATGAATGAAAACAAAGAATCTTGTATTGCTTTTCCAGAGATGCTTACAATGCACTGAACTAGACAAAAATTGAAATTCTTCCCTCTGAGAACTCCGTCATTTTCAGTTTCCCCAGTAATTTATACTCTCCCCGTCTTCCCCTACCATCTCTTCCAGACACAACCTAACATTCCATCTTCTAGGATGTGTTCAGTTGTGCCTCCCACACACAGAGGCCTCTTCAGGGGAAGTTTGGAGCCCTCAAATTCTGTTTAAGTGACCCCAAATACAGAAATGACATTTCTAAAAAATATACTGCAAACTGAACTTCTTGCTAGTGTCTTTAAACACCTGTTCCTCACCTCTGCTCCTCCAGAGCCTTCCTAATGGCCTTCCTGCACCCACTGTTAATGACTTATTAATATCTACACCTGTTCCTTTATTTTAAATTTTTATTGTGGTACTATATATAACATGAAATTTACCATTGTAGCCATTTTTAAGTGTACATTTCTGTGGCATTAAATGCATTCATATTGTTCAATCACCACCATCCATCTCCCAAAGTTTTTCATCTTCCCAAACTAAAACTCCCTACCCATCAAACACTAATTCTCCATCCTCCCAGCCCCTGGCAGCCATCATCCTACTTTTTTCTCTAGGAATTTTGACTACCCCAGGCACCTCATATATGTGGAATCATACAATATTTGTCCTACAGTGATTGGCTTACTTCAATCAGTATAATGGTCTCAGGGTCCATCCTTGCTATAGCATGTGTCAGAATTACCTCCCTTTTTAAGGATAATATTCTGTTGTATGTATAGACTACATTTTTTAATCCATTCATCTGTCAGTGTGAATGGATATTGTGCTGGCTATTGTGAATAATGCTGCTGTGAACATGGATATATAATATCTGTTTGAGTCTATACTTTCATTCATTTTGGGCATATACCCAAAAGTGGAATGGCTGGATCATATGGCAATTTTAATGGGTTTTTTTAATGTAAAATTTTATAGAATTAAGTTTCTAGAAGAGAGTATAGGTACATATACTTTATTGTTTCATCCTCTTTTTCTTTCATTTTTTATTGTTGTTCAAGTACAGTTGTTCCATTCTTCCTCCCTTACCACCCCCAGCCCCACCCTTGATCATAATCCTTTAGCTTTGTCCATGTGTCCTTCATACCTGCTCCCTGATGACCCTATCCCTCCCCCCATTATCCCTCTCCCAATATTTGGTTACTGCCAGTTTGTTCTTCATTTCAATGTCCCTGGTTCTATTTTGCTTGCTTGTTTGTTTTGTGTAGGTGAGAGCATGGATGGATCTGGAGAGCATTGTTTCACTTAAGGAATCACTAGGCTATTTTCCATGGTGGCTGCACCATTCTAAGTTCCCACCAACAGGGCACATGGGTTCCAATTTCTCTACATACTCATCAACACTTGTTATTTTCTGTTGTTTTGTTTTCCCCCATAATGGCCACCATGATGGATCTGAGTGATAGCTCATTTTGATTCTAATTTGCATTTCCCTAATGATTAGTGACATTGAGGCTTTATGTGTTTATTGACCATTTGTATCTTTTCTTCAGAAAAATGTCCATTAAAGACCTTTGTCTATGTTTTAATCAGGTTTGCTTTTTTCACATTCTGGATATCAATCCCTTTATAGATATATGATTTGCAAATAGTTTTACTGGCTGGCCTTTTCATTCTATGGACAACATCGTTTGATGCACAAACGTTTTTCATTTTGATGAGATCCAGTTTATTTTCTTTTGCACTGTTGCCCGTGCTCTTGGTGTCCTATCAACACCTCTTTTTTAAGTCTGTTTTTTCCTTCCCATGTGAAACCAAACAGGTATCCACAGAGCCAGGCCGTGTTTCCAAATGCAGACATGCACAGCACCAGCAACAGCGCCTCAACCCCCATCCTGATGATAGGACAAGCAATGCTGCATCCCAGCTTCCCCAGCTCCCATCCAGCACCCCTGCAGCCCACACAGGCTCAGCAGCAGGCTCAGCAGCACTTCCTGCAGGTGGGCACCAGGTGATCTTGGGGCCAGGGAGACAGGACCCAGCTCCAAGCCCACACCTTTCCCCACCTTGTTTTAGAGGTGATTTTAGTCCTCAGGACTGAAAAATACCCCTAACAGATTTGTATTTGAATCTTTATAGTTTCTAAAGTTCATAATTCTCAAAGGTTATAAATGTACACAGTATAAGAAATTTAGCATCAGCTATTATGCCTAATATGGTTATGTACTAAAAAGGTCCATTTTTTAAAAAGCAGTTTTTATTAGTGTCTGTATTTTTAAAGAATAAGACCCTGATAACTGTTTGTTGGACTTGCTAGTGTGCTTATATCAAAGCCTTTTACAAATATAAAATTAAATCACATTTAAAGACTTATCAGATTTCCTTAATAAATACGATAGTGTTGCCTGAAATTGGGCTTTCCCAGAAAACATGCAGTGTATGGCCATGTGGTCACCAGTTACTTCTAGCAAGTGCCAAAGCCACTGGTTTTCTCCTCACCCCCCTGCTCTCCTGGCACCTTTGAAGTCATACAAAATTGTGTAGTGGCAGACATTTTGAGAGCAGTGGGCTAGAAATGAAAAGAATCATCCTTGAAGATCTAGAATCTATATAATTCCAAAACTACTAAACTATTTGTGGTATACTTTTCAAATCTCCCTAATCCCAGGCATAGTGGGAATCAACTCAAGACTCAATTTTGTGTTATCTTGTCAACTTGTAGAACACAGACATGATTTGGGATGGGAATTGATGTTGTGGAGAGGCAGGCAGAGCCTGAGGGAGAGTTGGAGGCTTCCCAGATATTTCTTCAGTGGCAGCAACAAAGATGCAAGGCTCAGGCTTCACAGTGTTCAGGCCTCCTTGGTAACCTCAGAGCCTATACTGCACTGTGGAAAGAGCTTGTTACAGAGCAGCCAGGCTCTGGGTTAGTGCTGAGTGAGAGCACTATAGCTGGGAGGCCTCTATGAAAAGAATTCAGTGTACTGCTGTAGAGCTGGACACTTGGGAAATGCTTGAAGTGCAGGTTAAGGTATGGAGGTGAAGGGCCAATATTGTAGCAAGAGACAGCCTTAGCCAAACTGGATGGGCTGGTGTGCCCCAGCAGCTTTGAAACCAGAGTGAATGGGAATAGTGGGAGGTGAGATTGAAGGGTCCAAGTTTCTGAAGTTGGGCTTTGGCCAGTTGGAGTTTCTGACCTGCAAATGAGGGGGTTTCCTAATAGGTGCTCCAAATGGCAGTATTTGGAAGGGGTTAGGGGATCAGGAACCACTAGTGAAAGTGTGCAGACTGCATGCATGTTTGCATTCTGCCATACTATCTGCATGTGTGTGAGCTTCCAATATCCAGAAACATACAAGCTACATGTGGACCATGTGTACATGTTCAGTCCCCACAGGCTCACTGGGCCAGAAGGAACCCTTGGACTGGCTTTAAGCTTGCCTTGAAAAGTCACTGTCTGGTAGAGCACGGAATTCCTTTCTTCCCCATGCACTGTCCCTCCACAGTCCTGCCAAAGCCCTCCCCACAAGACCCCCAGCCATGGAGAAGAGTCCTGTGGTCTGTCTTTATCTGCATTTCAGCTGAGGAATTGTGGAATCACAGAAGCACCTCTGGAGCCCTTTTCCTTTCCTTTGTAGGTACAGGTGCCAACCTCTTTGCACAGTGAGCAGCAGGACTCACCACTTCTCTCTACCTACTCACAGCAGCCAGGGACCCTGGGCTTTGCCCCACAGCCCCAGCCCCCTCAACCTTCCCGAAGGGTCAGCTGCCTGTCTGAGTCCTCAGTCCTCCAGCAGCTGCCCCAGTAGTACCCTGGCACCTCAGTCAGGTCCCAATCAGTTTTAACTAATGGATGGATAAGGGGGTGGGGAAGATTTTTAACTACACCAGTGGCCTTTGCATACACAGCATACATTTCAGATCCTCTCGATAATAACCATCTCTGGAGAACCACAAATGGCATTTAGGAATGATCAGGAATCCTGGCCAAGTTTCTGTTGCTTCTGCACTCCTCGGGCACCCTCTACAGCCATACTTGGACATCATGATTCAGTCTACCTTATCAGATGGCTGGTTTCCCTGCACCTTCCTGACAGCACACTGATCACTCTAGCAAGTAGTGGCCCATCCACAAGTACTAGCTGGCCTTTACTCTCTTAATCAAGTTTTCTTTGAATTTCAGAAGCACCATTAGAAATCTATTGAAGGGAGAATTAAGAGATTATTTTTCATTATTTTTAAATGGTTGTTTTTGTTTCAATTTGCACAGCTGCACAGAGGAGGTAACTTAGGCACTTTCGTTTTAAAAAATAATAAGGTCTTATGACTTTATTTGGAGACCACAGTAACAAAATAGCTAACCAATCAGAGAGCAAAGTCATCACCCACCAAGCATCAGCCCACACCCTCCTTATGGACATATGTAATCTGTGGAGAAGAACAAAACATTTGCCACCAAAGCATTCATCAGCTATAATTCAACTCACCTGGGCTTATCTCCACGGGCTCTGACCAACAGCACTCAGACATTGGTGATGCACAGGGTATGATGCATAGTATGAGCACCATACTATGCTGGTGATTACTTTTATAACACTGGACTGTTTTCTGTTTACTTTGTTGATTGCAACTACTAGACAACTCAGAGCAAAGCACAATAATGCAGCTGACAATTCAGAACCTTGTGAACTGAAGGGTTATGAAGGAAGAGGTTTCACAAGCCAGACAGGCCTGTGGGGTGCCCAGCCCCATGGACTCCCCTGCATGTGCTAAGCCTGTGCATGAGAACACTGTCCCTTGCTACACATCTTCCACAACAAGACCTAGGACTGAATTTCCTTTTCAAAATGAACTTTGTTTTATTTTTTGTATGTTTTCTTATGTTGAGATGTTTCTAAAGAAAAGAGTTTATGTAATTACAAGGTGAAGTGTAGTACAGCTGTTGTAATAATGACCTATTTCTATATAAAATTGTACGAATTATATGTGAATTATTTTGTACCTGAGACACAGTTCCTTTCTCAAATATAAAAGTTTTCTTGTGTTTTTCTGTGAGTGGACATTTTGTAATAAATTAACAGATTTGTATAATTTCTTCTGGAGGCAGTTTCTGTCCCTTGTTACATGTGCATGCTGATAAACATATCTTTTCATCCATAAACATATGTTTTTTAAATTTTAAGATGTTTCTAAGGATAATCAAATACATGGAAAAGGTGGAAGCAAGCAAAAAATAAGTCAGGTGACAGTGTTATGTTTTTTAAGCTACAACATGTGCATCAGCCTGTCAGTTCCCTGATTTTTATATCAAATATTGTACCAGAAAAAAACAATGGTTCAATGTAGAAATGACAGCAAAACAGACAAACAAAAGCAGAAAAAGTTCCTGGAAACATGTCAACCTTATGGACATATGTAATCTGTGGAGAAGAACAAAACATTTACCACCAAAGCATTCATCAGCTATAATTCAACTCACCTGGGCTTATCTCCACGGGCTTTGACCAACAGCACTCAGACATTGGTGATGCACAGGGTATGTGTGTGTTTGTGTGTGACAGCACTCATATCATGCTGATGAGGGCTGATAGAACAGCATCTTGGAGACTTCTGCCAACTACACATATCATTCTTTCCCATGAGGTTTCATCATGCTGACACAAGGGTTCCCTGCACACTGTGATTAGGAACCAATGAGGTGGTGATGCTCAGCACAGCCCTTTCCAAAGCCGCTGGCCCAGAAGAACTGAATTCCTTTCCTTCCTCCATCACTGTAGCTCTGTGCTCCTATCTGCATGCCTGTAAAACACAAAACATTCCTCAGCTCCACAACTGGGATCAGGTTTGAATGGCCTAAGACACTGCCATATAAATACATCAAAAAGGAGTTTTATTCATCATGCAATTGCTGTATTCCTGGAAAAAGGTAAGTCTGAAATTTTGCATTCATTAGAATCATTTACTGTTTAAACTAAAGGAACCAGAAAGGAACTGGATTACTTTGTAATTTAACTGTTTTGTAAAGTGGAATATCTGATTTTTCTGTAAAAGAGTTTGTATTTTAATGGGCTGTCAGAATTCTTATTTCTAAGTAAAATGAGATTTTTAATGGAAACAGCATTTAATTGCCCTATATTTTTCTAGTTGGAAGCCATTAAGAGAGGGTGGGATATGCCATGCTACTAATTTAATTTAGTGTTGCTTAAATCTTACATGTGTTCAGAATCTGGATAAACTCAGAAATCTCTTACCTGTAATATTTCTGTATACCCACATGATATCAGGGGAAGCTTAATCCCTAAGCTTTTCTCCTTTTTTTCCCTACTTTTTTTTTAATCCCTAAGCTTTTGATTGTTTTAATTTTCTTCATTAAAAGGCTGGTTTGCAACCTTGTCCTGCTTCCAGAAAAACCATGAGCTTTCTATTTGGAAAATTATAAAGTCTGGCTTGGCTCATGAGAAGTGACTGAAATGTGAACTCTGGAATATACCGCCTTTTTTAATATCTTAAACTAACAACTGAAATGTACTATCTTCTGTCAATAATGGCAACCAAAATTCACTAACTTAAAATTTTTGTTTATACAGAAAACATGGTGAACTGGCCAACTATTAGATCATTTTAAGCCATGACATTTTGCACTCTTTCCTAAATTACCTGGTAAAATTTGAGTGTTTGGTACAAAATTACTTCAATTTCTCTTCATGTAAGGCCTGAAGGTTTTAGAGTTAGCCATTGATAACCTAGAGAAATAATTGATTAGGTTCCTCTAGAGAAATGCCTTATGTGGCTTATAGACAGACACATGCAAACTACGCACTACACACGTGCAATACAAACAGTAGCAGACTTCTGTACCAAGAACAAGGCTGATTACAAAGCTGAAATACCTAGCCTTCTGGTATCTGTGAAAGAACTTTATTTTTCTGAGGGAAAAAGTGCTCATCAGGAACAAAGAAAATCTCCTTCAGGATTTTTTCCTAAACAGCCAATGTCCAGCTATGGAGGAAACAGGATAACCCCTTAGCACATTCAATAAATTAACACATGCCTTAAAATGGATATTCCAATGTTGAGTTAGCACTTATAAGAATTTAATTAAAATCTCGTCTGATATAAAAGATCCCTTGAGAGTTTTATCTTAAAAGCAAAAAGGACCCACTTAATGTAATAGCAAAACTAAATATATATCAAACTGGTTACAAGTATGTGAATACCATGGATTTAATTTTTTAATTTTAATCCATACTCATTCTTATACTTTTTCAGTGTTCCAGTTTTTATATACCATTATAGGATCTCAGTAACTAGCCAAATAAAAATTTTACAACACCCTAGGATTAAGGATCTTACCATACCTGTCCTCCAAAAAAAAAAAAAAACCAGCCATTTCTGACCATCAGAGCCTGAAAGTCAAGTCAGCAACTTGAGTTTGGCCTAGGGACCAGGGTCTTGGTTATTCAGTCTGTCAATTCACCCAGATCTGCTGGCATCAGATTCCTCCCTTTCTATTTCAATTTCACATGTCTTACATCAGGAGGCTTTCATTGTTTTTATGTAGATTTTTATTTTTGAGGCTCGGTGAAGATTTCTTTACATTTTCTTGGGCTGGATATATCTAACTTACTGTATGACATATTGAGTCTGGTGTGCTGGCCTATTTGGAAACTCATATATGTCTTAATTACTCATATATGTCTATAATTAACATGGTTGTAGCATGTAGCCATCGGGGTCAAGAAAGAGTTGGACCCCTTTCTACCGTCACAGTGCTGTGCTCACTTTTCCCGGGAGCATCTGCCTCCCTTGCCAGTGTCACCTCACTTCCTTAGATAGCTTACATACATGTTTGTACCATATTAACAGACACAGCTTTACAAAGAAACAAGATACCTATATATATCAATACCTTCCAACTTATTAAAAATATTATGTATATCTATTCTATTGACTCCTCTGTTAATTACAACTACCTTTTTTAATATTTCAGGTTTCCTGAAAGCATGAAGTCACTGACTCATGGCCGTTTTATAAACTCAGCTTTTCTAATTAATCATTGTTGTTGTTATTATTTTATTTCATGCTCAAATCAGTGCAACTTGGGAAACTCCCTTCATTGGTCTCTATATCTTTTTAACACTACCTATCAGAAATCAGATTCTGGATTTCTTTCAGGAAACAAGTAGATCAAGGTCCAGCCTTGCTTTTTTTTTTTCTGCTACAAAGCATGGAATTAACCTCAAGGAGACCTGATTCCTTTTAGTTCAAAACAAAAAAGTATTAGAGATTACAATCTGGGTGACTAGAGAATAGTGTTGGGTAAGAACGCTGCTTCTCTTGCTACTATTCAGCCATTTTGTGGTGATAAAGGTAAACACATATTTCTTTAAGGTTGTGAAATCACATTGATTTCTTCAATATATTTTATATGGTATTTTACTATTCCTTTCTAATGTGATTTCATCAACCACTAAGACTCACCAAAATTGATGTTTCATACAAAGTCAGTTATAAACTGTCAATTTTAATTTCAAAATACTTCTTGTGCCAGTCCTCTCCTCTCTGTCCCCACTACTCACCCCCTAACCCAGGCCCTCATTTCAGCTGGATCACAGCCCCTTCATTGACACCCCCTGCCCTGCCTTGTAAGCTCCAGTTCATATGCACAACAAAAATAGAGTTCCAAAGCACACAAAATGTTCTTGGAACACTTTGCCATCAGTGACTGACCTGACTACTGAGACTTGGGAAGGAAGGACATGGTGGAAGAGCCTGTAGGCTAACAATTTTCAGTACTTCAGATCAGTTTTTATTATATGTCTGTTCAGCCTTTACTTACAACA